GTAACTTGTTAAAATAAAAATGTATTTTTTAAATATGTTTTAATTAATATACGATTATGTATGTTAATTTAATAAAGATGTAAAATGAAATATTTAAAAGCCAATGACGTAAAGTAAATTAATTAACTATTTATAGGGGTATAAAGTGTAAATTTAAAATTATTATTTTAAAAAAATTCGTTAAATGTGAGAGAGGGTGGGTATGTGAGAGAGTGAATTTGTGAGAGAAGGGGGTATGAATATCAACCCCCTTAATAAATAGGCAATAAAAGTCTATTTTTTTAAATAAAAACATTATAACGTTTAATTAACAACGTTATAATGTTATTATAAAAAAAAGAACTAACCAAGATTCAAAATAGAATAAAATTCCAATCAAAGTATATTATATGTTATGAATAATTATAAAATAAATTTTGTGTATTTTTTTTGGATAAAGAAATATTATTATATAGCAAAGGACTTGGTCAAGTAGTTATGCATTCACAAATAAATATATATATATATAAGAAGTTCAAATGAGAACAATAACTAAATAAAATAACATGAAAACGGTCAAATCAAGTGTAAAATCACATGTAATTTTACATTAATGATCAACATAAAGGTGTGCAGGCTGACGACATAGCCTGCGTTCTCAGGTTGCGAACAAAGTCGCATGAATCACATGTTATTTTATACGTGATCTCAGTACAAGATCCTAAATGACTCGAATGTTTACTTGTTCTCTTATTTGATTATCATGTAGATACGTGGATATAAGTTTTGATTTGGGGGTTCAAATGACCCTCCAAAGTTTAAAAACAGATGTTTTTTATATTATAAAATTTATTTTTTATAATATATATATATATGTTTTGACCCCCAAAAATAAAACGTTTGACTCCATAATTTTAAACCAATTTCATTGCTATATTTTTATATTAATCATTAAACATGAATCGGTAAGATTAGAGTTTATTAGGGGTCGTTTACTAAATATTTACTTTGATAAGTGCTCAATGCATAAATTTCTTCGTCGGATGAATATGAGAAGGGTCAAAAATCTTACCGAGTAAGAGCAATGAGAAAAATGGAGAGTCTTACCTGGTAAATGAGGATGACGACTCTTACCCAGGTAAGCGTTTACCCAGTAAATTGTTGTATTTGATATGTTTTGATATACTAAAATCTTACACATCAAAATAAATTATAGTGTTGACTCCTACTGATAAGCACTTATTGGGTAAGTATTTGAGTAAACGGCCCCTTAGTTAATATATGATTGTTAATTTTTTGTTAGTTATTAGTTGTCAGGTTAGGGTTTGTTAATTGATAACAAATTGTTAATTTAGGCTTAGGATCATTAGTTAATACTAGAAGCGTACTCGCGCAATGCAGCGAGATACATCGTGTTTTTAATATTTCATTTTATTCTTTATCTCAGCCGATGTTATAATATGGCTTTATGTGATTTTGAGAAAGCGATGATGTTTTTATTTTTGAATAAAATATATGTTTGACGATATCATAAAAATTTGACAA